CTCCTTCGCAGTGTGCACGCATGACCCTCGGAGGGATCAAACTGGAGGTCACAGATGTGCACTGTTGAAGAGTTCCAGACCCGTACAAACACAGCTGCCAAGATCCCCCAGGTTTTCAGTAGTTCCCAAACTGATATCAGTCCATGATGTCAGTCCAAATCGAATACACTATCTTTCAGAATATATATATATATATATATATATATATATATATATATATATATATATATATATATATATATATATATGGAAAGCTGAGAAGATATGGTTTTACGAACGTACAATCCTACACCTACGATGTGGTGGTGAAATGTGAATGACACATTTACTGTGTTGAAATCGGGATATATCGATAGTTTCCTCACACATAAACTCAGTAGTAGACCCATTCCAACTCAAGAGGAGGTAGAAAATGAACAAGCAAAATTACTTATGCTGGATTTCAGAATAAAACGAAGGACAGACGATGATTTGAATACTACCGTAACAGGAAATCGACACATTATAACATGTGTCTAGACTTCAGGTCATCTCATCCGCCGTCAGTTAAGGCAGGTTCAGTCAAAGTCTAAATAATAGAACTAGAAAACTGACTAGTCAGTTCAAAGACCAAAACAAGGAACTGAAGTACATAAAAGAAGTGCTAATAACTAATAATTATCCTCTGCAATTTATTAAGAAATTCGTAAGGACACAAGAAAGAAAATGATAATAGTAATGCAAATACTAATAATAACGACAATACGAACAGAAGAAAGTTCAAAGTGTCTATTATGTAACCCTATAAGGAAGATACATCAGAAACTTTACGTAGAATTCTCAACAAGGCTGGAATTAGGGTAGCACTTAAACCTACAAACTCACTCAGAGACAAGCTTTGTTGGCTTAAGGATACGATAGATGCAATTAAGCAAAATAATCTAATCTACCAACTTCTATTTAATGGCTGGAAGATCGAATACAAAGGTCAAACTAGCCGGTCGGGGTCAGTTAGATTATCAGAAAGTAGGAATTTAGCTAAATATAGAACGACAGACCCGAATAAGATCAATAATCTGGAAAACACTCGTTATCGCAATGCATACATTAAAACACAACCACACAATAGGTTGGGATAAAACCGCTGTACTCGAGTCAAATACAATTAGGTGGAGATAGAGATTGATTACTGAAATTTCGTTCATCGAATCAACATCCAACACGTGTAATAGAAATGATTTGACACGTACACCAGAGATATAAAAGTTTGTACTACCAATGAAAGCAAAGATCATGAGATGACAGGACTATAAAAGTCGGTTGTTGAAAGTGATGCGATTATATTGATATGATTATGAGCAAAAATTTATGCTTGAAACATTATCAAGTAAACAACACTATCGTTTTGTCTTACGTGAAATAAACAAACGTAATAAGGCATAAAGTACATTTGGCCAAACTTTACTCATTCATTCCTTTGGGTTTTCATGGTGGAAGGTCAGTCATTCAATCATGTATACTCTAGATATCTTCATTAATAATATCATCATTAATAATCTAGTTCAAATCTACGTGGATTCCACTGTGAAGACCTCAGTGAACAGTTGGTGTGATGATAAGTGGTTAACTACAGACCACTCATTATCGTGACAACCGGACAAAACTCCCAATGGCTGTGATAAAGTTTCAACTTAATAAATAATTGGATTTCAAAGCCGAGCCAATGAAACTACTGTCGGATAACTGACAAGCCAGTGGTTCGAACCCTGCCCAAAATCAGTTCTCTGTCGACTACAATCACTACTCTCACAAAAAGGTAAAAAATATTATGCATAAGACTTAAAGGTCACTAAAAACTCTCAATCTGCAACAGTTAACCCTATCATCTCAACAGGTTCACAAACTCATCAACTATCTTTTCTTTTTTTGTCTGCCCTGAGAGACGAAAAGAGGGGAATAAAGTAGGTGAGGAACATATAGATGTTGCAGTAATATTTGTTCAATACTAACTAAATGCAAAGTTGAAACTGGACTCACTTTCAACAGTGAAATTCATTCAGAATCATATCATCTGATATCTGTTGTTGTCAGTTTATTCTTTGTTCTTATTTCCATCAACATATGTAGGCTTAATTACAAAGTGACTGAGCAACCAAGTGCCCCACCTTGCATTGAATAATGAGCCAGTTCTCCTGTATGGGGGTTTAATCAGTCAGTCGATTTCAATAAAAGATGTGGTATTACTGTGAAAAAGTTCATGCTGCATATAAAAATCCCAGATACCCAGATAAAGGTAGAAAAATATACTAGAAAGCCATTATAAGTAGCAGAAGGTAGCAAAAAGAAAGGAAGAACAGTAATATAGAAGTAAAACTTGAAAATTATGGTAATTCCATTTGGTTCTGTCTGTTGGATATGTCACAGTGAAATAGTATTATCTACTGGATAACGTTTCGGGCATAATTTATTGTGAAGACTTGATGGTTTTAGGCTTGATCTCTTGCGGGGTGATGTTGCACACTAGTAAAAGTCGTGAACTGGAAAAGAACAGCTGTCCAGCTTTCCTAGATTTTCAGTGGTTCTCCAACTTATGTCACTCCGCGACCACAACTACTTTGATATATGTCCGATGAATTAACCTAAACCCTGAACATACTGATCTAAAAATAAGGAAACGGTTAGATTTTCGTTTAGTGAATGTAAATAGTATGACAAATAATCATTATCTTGTCATCGGTGAGAGTTGTCTGTCAGTAATAACAAAAGTTATTGATGGAAAATATGGGAAAGCAAAAGTTAGGACAGACAAACAAACAAGTTATTGTTTTAAGTTCTTACTAAAGTTTCAATAAGAACCATTTTGTAAAACTAGTATCTTTATACGGGATACATTAGTAAATTGAGTCATATGTGAAGTTTGAGGTCAAACAGATTGGTTGCTTAATGAGGTTGTAAACCTACATTGACCAGGGTTGTTAAAATATGTGTTACACAGACTCAGTTACCGTCTACTTCGATGTGTATTGTTGGCTAGTAAAGTGGGTATAGACTTCAGAAACGGTTCATTTTGGTAAGACAAATACGTGACATAAATCAGTGAAGTCTTTGACTGTTTGTTCGTCTGAACCGTGTATAGAAATATAAACTTCTGAAATGAATCCCGACAGATAAACAAAGTCAGTAGGTGGAGAGAAGTAATCTTAGTGATATAGGTGCATCCACACATTATCTCCATCTCAATCTTGATATTTAATCTAGTTATTGTTTAACTTCCTCTTCTCACGACTTTCCACGACTTTGAAATGATCTTTTTGTCTATTTCCGTACCTTTTATCTTCATATATTGTGCCTTGATGAAGTGATTTGCGATGTGGAAACTTGGAACAAGAAGTAGTAATGCCAGGTCAAATGTTGATAATGACTGATTGACAGAGTGACATTATTCACCAATGCAGATGAAGACTGATAGAGATCTATATCATGTCACCTGAAAGTGTACTCAGTAGTTTACATTTGCATGCCAGAACATGTACATCGAGAGCATAAAAAGGCACCTTTTATTTTTTAGAATTAAAATAATCTTAAAAACTCACGTCTCAGGTAAACAAAAGGGTATCAGCAGTTCAATATTAATATATCTTCTTGTCAAAGGGAATGTAATAAATATTAAAGATGTATTCTAAATGTTCAATAAGCAGCATAATTCGATTTCAACTCAATTTATGATTACCGTCTTCTACCCTAAGCAATCTTAGCATTTTTGAATTAGGACGAATTTTGCACAATATTTTTTTAAACAAAATTATTGTAAATATAAAATTCACATTGAACATGTTCATGAGACGAAGTTATTGAATAACTCTAAGGTTCATTCAAGTAACTGTTAAATTCCACAATTAAGTTTTCTTACTTTATCGGATAAAAGAAACAATTGGTTATTTTGATGTTTTCTAGGGGACACCTTTAGAGTCACTCAAGTTGTATGTAATTACGATTTCATAACTTAGATGGTAAAATCGTGTAAAACAACGCTTTTCGGTGAATTGTTTGTTCCCTCTCATAACGTCTCAATGGAGATTGTTTGACCATGAAAAAAATGTTAGACGCACATTTGGGGATGAAAATCAGCAAAATAGCCCGGACTAGATAATAATTTATGAACGACACATCAGTAGTTATGAAATTATTGTCAGAAGTAACAAAATGCGATACCAGTGGGGCCTCAGCGGTCTCGTAGATAGAATGAAACGCATGTCTTGGATTCTACTGCCAGCCACCACCAAGCAATCTTCGTCTTATGTCGGTATTGTGTTCCAGTAGTTTCAATACCTTCTATTGTCTGCCAGTCGTTAGACTGCTTGTAAGAAATGAGGAAGTGATCATTCATGAGATTGAACGATAGTTGTTTTGAGTCAACAATCGTTAATGTATTAACACTTCCTGAATGATATCTGTGCAACTTCATGATTTGAATGAATATCAAATATGCTTCAAGAATGAAACTATTGGTAATTATGTTTTTTACTTGGGCATTCATTTTTTCAAAAGTAGTAGAAAATTACCGAAAGCCTTTTGCATTTATCGCTTACAAGATTGGTTCTCTGATCATTTTTCTGGGTTTTCACTTTCTTTTTGTAACTTCCACCTTTTTTGATGTTCTCAACGTCGTTACATGACACTGAGCTGCACATTTCTTCGTTTCATTCTCTAACTAGTATTAATTTAATATGAACATATGGATAATATGATAACTTCGCTACAAAGTGATAACTTGGGTGCCGACGAAAAGTCATCCCCAAATTACGTGATCCCGTTTATTATGAACCTTTTCATTAGTATATATAATTAAGCATCACCACTGCTATAATTGTAGTTAAATTCAGCATCAGTAAAGACAGTCGTATAGTTTTATTTGAACCAGAAACTGCCCATTTTATGACGAAAATCTTTCCACATGAATTTCTGTGTCTGAAAATTCCATTTCTCTCAGTGGAGATGATGTGGATGGTCGTTTAATGTACATGATTGTGACAGCTGTTATTGATCGAAGCTCTCAAATCAATGTTACATTAAAACAAGAATCTGATCAATTAACTAAAATTCGACATTCCCCTTTACCAAATTATAAATATGAATTTTGGGAGAAATTTATAATATGTATACATGATATATATGATCAACTAATTAACAATGAAGTAAAGAAGATGAAGCTTATACTGGAGTCAACGCATAGTCCTCATGCTAATGCACTCAAGGAAACATTTAAACGAGTTGTTCGTGGTATGTTGATCGATGAATGTTACTTTTCCTTCTCAAATGTAATCAGTGATACTTATATGAATAATTGTAATAGTTTTCATCTGTGAAAGTTCAACAGAGAAGATTAATTTAGAAAAATTCACTGCTATTGTTATATTATGAGTGGATGATACCTTGGAGCTCTCCCAATTGCCAAACCTTTGTAGATCATCAAATAAGATCTAATCTAAGTAGGATTAGGTTGTAAACAGTTAAGTGTTGCCAGATTATGATACGCTATTGTTAATTTGAGTCTTTTTTGGAACAAGACGCCTTTGAAACGGCTGTCCTTGAGATGAAAGTAATTGACGGTAGTCAAATCCTTGTGCCTAACCAGATGATTGAAGTCGGTCAGCCAGTATCAATATACAACTTGGTAATGGTGCATTAGGGTTTAGATTGCGATACACCTACCTCACAAGTACATCAAGTTACAACGCAGCACCACTAAGGGCAAAATAATCAGTCAAAAATGGCAGAAAGCTATAGGTTGAAAAGAAGAGGGCTTAAAATAAGTGATGAAATATGGTTTAACGTTTAGAAGAAACACAGGGTGTGAACTTATCTATGCCACTGCGATCTATTTTGAGTCTTCCACAATTAATTTCACTTGTGCCACAAACTCCAACCTTGACATTTCTTTACACTGCTCAGACTAACGGTTAGAGAGTTTATGGACGAATCCCACTATTTAGTATGCATACATCTGATGTCTTCCCGGCCTTAACCTACTTCAATTAACATTTTGAGAATGGACAGGCTGTGACTAGGTATTCATAACACATGTCCTGGCCACCGGAATCAAGAAGGTTCTCAACCCCATCAGCTAACTCACCTTTTCTGTCTAATACTCTGTTCTTGATTTCTTCATTATTGACATTGCAGCTTCAGGATGCACGGCCTATGCCACGAAGGCAAAAATGGTCGAACAACGAAAGCCTTCTAATGTTCTCAACTCCTCGTTGAGGAGTACAAAATACATTCAACCCTATACATTAAATTCATCTACTCTTTAAGGTTCTATTCATCATCGACTGAAATTAGTTGGTGAAACTTTTGGAATCTGGATAGCTGTTTCGTCCTGGTATTAGACTCCCCAGCAGTACTCACCCACGACTTCGCTAGAGATCAAGACAGGAATCTTCAGGTTTCAGACAGAACGCGTTAATCATTCAAACACTGGGTCATAGTTTTATTAATTACAGTTTCTTAACTCCATTAGTTCGCCATAGAGTCAGATTGTTCGCTGACGTCTGTCTCCGACTGTTGTCAGTTCATGATGAATTCTAATTTAGAAGTGACATACTTCTTGTTTACGGTAATGTGTTTTCACTTATGTTAAATCTTTCTCACTGTCTTTGTTCTTTTTATGAAGTTTATCAAATTAAACTGAAAGCACTTCTATGCCAATTTCCACATTGATATGTGTATCCGCCCGACCAGTATAGCATATATTCTGGCTGTGAATATTCACTGATTAGCCTTATCTTTAATATAACTACTAGCTGTGAAACAACTGCTGAAATATGTAAATCTTTTAACAACTAGTTCGATACCCTCATGGATGAACGAAACGATAAGTTCTCTCAGTGGTTATGTTATCGATTCACTCCAGTGAATTAGGAGCAAACTACCCAGACATCCAGCGTACTATGACTAAACGATAAATTTGTATTGTTCATGCACAAATGATCGTGAAATTTACATTTGGACAGTCGTTTGATACCAACTCTTTTAACATCCTAAACAGAACTTTTCTGTACAATATCTCTCCTTCTACCAGATTTATTCGATAAAATATGGTTGCATGTCGTTGGCTGATTAATATTTTGTCTATATAAAGTATCTGAAAGGCAATGGGATGCTATTTTGATGTGTTTCCAATTGAACTTCCAAAATTCACCTCCGCTTAGTTAAGCGATAGGGATTTTGATATCCAGAATTGTAAATATATATGGAGATCATAGGGTTGATAACCTACCGACAACCGTTTTATATCTTACAGTTAGTCAGTTTTGTTTTCAACTTCTATTATCACTCACGTATATGAAGACCTCAACCATCAAGTGATGTCTGTGTCAAATAGTTTGATTAGCAAAGATTCAGAATCATGTGGATAGTTTACCGTCAGTATTGACGGTGATACTTAAAGAATAATACTTTGAAAATAAGGTCGGAAATAAAGATTTTCATCTAGATAGACTTTTAGGTACACTACACTTACTGAGTGCAAGAATACCTAGACAGCTGTTGCTTTCTAGTTTGGCACTCTTTAGCAGTGCAAATGAACGACTCCATGTGAGATCAAACTTAAGGTAAGAAAAAGGGAGAATGATAAATTTACTGCCTTTTTTTATCATCAAACTCCTCATTGTGATATTTTTTTCATGCATTTCCATTTTTCATATAAAGTGACTTTAAAAGTGTGTGGCCAGACTGTTAGAAATATATAGCACAAACACAGCAAATGTTTATAAGATAAATTTATATATTATTATTTGTCCCTTGGGTTCCTAATGGAACATAGGGCTTCAGTAGCACGTCTCCAGCGCACTCTGTTCTCTGAAAACTTTTGAACCTGGTTCCATGACAGCCCACAAGCTCTCATTTCTTCTTCACACGATCTCCTGCATGTCACCCTCGCATATGACGCCCAACTCGTCGCTTCCCATCGAGGTTCCACTCGAGTGCCTGGCCTGATGCATGGTGTCCCCATTATCAGACAAACTATATCTTCTAATTATGTCATCCAACTTAATAGATGTTACCAGTTTTAAATCTGATATTGGTTTTATAGTACCGGAAGACTTCAGTTATAACACAAGTTGATTCAGCACTTAAAGTTACAGTTTAAATCATTCTCTAGGGTCTTGAAATTGGAGTCGGATAATGCAAATTAGATGTCTAGGTTGAAAAATTAGATTTTAAGATTTCAGCATGAGTTACATTGGTTAGGAAGTTAAGATCGGTGTTAGAAGCGGAAAAAATATTATTCAGCACATTTTCTTTTCAAAAAATAGAAAGTGCTATGGTTCTGTATTACAGTATGCTCTTTTATAGGACATATTTCACTGATTGAAATGAATAGTTACAGATCATTCATATTAACCACTAGTGGTCGTTGATCACATCTAGGTGAAATAAACACGGAATGGTAGTTCCGCTCTTTTCAGTTTGAACTCATCAGAGCCTAACTCATATTGGTTAGGATAAAACAGTTATTTTTGATCATTTTTTATTTAAACTATATCCAATTTTAGGGCAGTGTTTAAATCTCTTCTATGTAAATCACTCTGATCATGGAAATCACGTGACTAAGCATTGAAACGTCGTCAATACTATAGGTCAGTTATGTAGACAGTTTCAGACTACTTGTTAGTAGTATAAATTTTAAAACAGCATTTTGCTGGGGTGGAATTTTTCGCCAAGAATTTAGCAAGAAATGATAGTCTGTCTCTCATTTGTAACTGAAAAACACTGAGATCTATTTATTACCAAAATTTTAATAACAATATTTGCATTAAAAATCTATCATTATTAAGTAAAGCGATCTATCATTATTACGCAAGTCGATTATAAGAATTAAGTATGAATTATAGGAATGGATTATACTGAATTATTTTAAATAAGATACTGAAAAGATGGGAAACCAAAGTTTCTGAAATGTCACTAGTTCAGACACGTTAGAAGAATTAGATTTTTCTTTCCCAGTCTTTATCACCGAATGGTGAACTTTCCTGAATTTTTTCTTGTAAAGTTTATCGTTGTTCCGCCTACTGACGAAATATTCGTATTTTCTGAAGAACATAGCCTACCGTCCTACCAGTTCAGCTCTATGATAGAAAGCTAACTTTTGAAAGTGAGAAAAGTCAAAATGGTTCCAGGCATTTAAGTACGAGTAATTTCAATACATTTTTCTTATGAAGTGAGACATCCTAGTGAGTAGTGGTGTGACACCGCACGAAGTTTAGTTATTTGACATTGTAGTGAACATGAACTGACCAAGGGTCTGAAACACATCCTACTTGACTCACTTAGCAACCATCTATGCCGATATACATCATTGTTTGAAGTGACGGTAGGCTGGAAAACGAATAATTAAGTAAATTCCGGAATATTTAAAATTTATGCCTCTTTTGTTCAAGATCTCGAAATAAAGGGTACATTAAAATTTTTAAAAAATGCTCCAACATCCTTAGCTCGAATCTCATCTTTCTATCACCAACCGACTGTCCAATATTTAATACAACTATATTACAGGTCTCTGGATTGTATTTCAGACTTTTCAAGTTCAAGTAGAATAATCTAAAATACGACAACTCGAGAAATATTCAAATCCACAACATGCTTTTTGAAATCTCACATACGATGAAGACTGAAAGACTAATTAATGAGTTCTACTGATCACCCAAGGACACCTAACCTTGGTATCGTGATTAACTATTCTGTAAAATGTTTTTAAAGGTCAGCTTAGGAACTACTGGAATAACCGATGCGATTTTGGAATTTCTGCTAGTAAGTCAGTTTCCTATAGAATAGAGGAGAATAATTGGTTATCTTAGCAGTTGCTAGGGTGATATCAGAGTCAACCGAAGCATTTGTTTGGGTGGCACACAGAATCACTTTTTCCACCTATATAAAAAATCGAAATGTCAGTAGAAAGGCTTGTCAAACTAGCTGATTGGGAAGATTGATTCCAAAGATAGGGGCGACTTTAAAGGCATCCAAGCAACCATTGTAACATCCAACTGCTTTTCTTTATTTTGATTGGAATGGCAAATTTTAATGAAACAGAGCAGTGTGATTCGTTATTTCAGTTGTTGCTAGGGCGGCCTTTAAAATCAGTCAAAGATTCTCATGACAGCTACCAAAATAGGCAGCTCATTTTCTGTATTTTGTGAAAAACTAACCTTCCACTCAAAGTTTAGGTACGCAAACGGGAGTGATTAAAGGTCACCCTAGTAACTGGTGAAATAACCAATCACGTTTCTCTATCCTATGAAAAATTGTCTTCCCAGCCAAAACACGGCAACCTCATTGGTTATTCTGGGAGTTGTTAGGGTGACCT